CCCACTTGTATTTTTTGAAGCAGTGAGTGAGTCTTGGAACACCCTTCACTGAAATGCTGCAGCCCGTTGGTACGGGCTTCTCCTATTGCCTCTCCGTGTTGATGGGATTCGCAAGTTCTGTCGGCCACGGGACGCTGTGGTCGTTGGACGAACTGTCTATTTGTGGACAAGGTCCACTGCTATTCGGAAAACACCATTGGGTACAAGTATATGCTGGCATCGAAACGTCGACTCTCTGATTTTTGGAGAATAATATCCAACTACATATTAACTGTCCACTCAAAGCACCCAGACACAGTAGTACTGCAGCCGTCTCAAATGGCTGATGTCAAGACCCCACCCCTCCTTTTTTGGTTTGGATCACAACCGCGTGTCGACCAGGTGGCGGCGGCCCAGCAAGCGGCGCACACGGAGTCCCTGCAGACCATGTCCAAGAGGCTGGCGGAGCTCTACTCCGAGATGGGTCTGCCGGTCGGCGCGGGTGGCGGTATGCCGGGAGCGAAGTAAAAAGAATTTGAGACACCCACCGAGGTGGCGGCAATGATGTATTTGTACTGCCGTGGTGTTCGATCATCTACCATGATCGCATGCGGGTACCTTGTGCCGGAAGTTTTTTTTTATGTTTGCAGAATTTTTTCTTCGTGCTTGAGAACGGGCATGCACGGCGCTGCGTCAAGAGGGGTTGGTCGTGGATGATGGCACCAAGCCGAAGGCTTGGTAACCGCTATTGCGGCGATTAGAATTTGTGTCCGGTTTGGTAGACGGAGCGCGGCTGCTCTCTCTTGTCTTTCTTTCTTTCTCTGGCGGTCATGTATCGTGGAGGGGGAAGCGACACTGCTGTGAAGAGGGTGAAGTGGTGAGAACGGTTTTCGAGGGTTGATCGCAGAGAAAACCCCCGATCTCGGTCGATAGCCATCGCGTTGTCCCGGTGCACTCGTGGGGTAGTTCAGAAAGTACCCATGGTCATGAGAATGGGGACTATCTCTTCCCCGCTGTGCGCATCTTTTCTCCCCCCTCTTCAAGAGGGGGGGAGTCGGAGGGTCGGGTGCGAGATGTGTTTTTGCGAGGTTTTGCCAGGAAATATTTTGTTGGGGTGGTGGTCCATCCTGCTGATGATATCGCGACGGTTCGGCCAACATGAACGACATTGGCAGAGTACCGTTATGGGAGTGACCGATTGAGGTTGGGGTGTGTGCGGGTTGTTAAGGATACCAACGACCCGTCTTCCCCCGATTCTCGAAAGTCATGAATGGGCGTGGTTTTTCTTGCTCACACGCTGTTCCTCCGTGGTTCAGGCACAATCGTCACATGAATACCACAAGCACGTGCCCATCTCATTTGATTCTGAACGGTTCACATGCAGAATTTTTTCAAGTTCCTCTTGTATTTTTCCATTTGAACGTCCGTCCGCCGAAGCGTGTTGTTTGACAGGAACACCAACCATCCACCACGTCTTGACCGCATGGAATGGAAACTTTTGGGAGAAATTAGGGATTCGTTGAGATTCCTGGCCGAATGTAGCACGCTTTCCCCCCGTCATAATTGTGTCACACAGGTCTCTGAGGTTACTACGTAGTCGTATATAAACTTTGCCTCTCCTCTTCTCCAACTGCGCATCCACAAAGAAACAGGAGCGCCCTGTTGAAGTCGTACAAGATGATACCCGGTGCGGGCCAAAGCTCCGTTGTTCTCTCCAGGCTACAGCAGTGTGCATGCCGCTCGTTCTGCTACTCCGCAACACGCGTGACAGGCACCAAGGAGAAGGAGGAGTGCAGTTTCGAGAGTCACGTGATTTCCACTCTTGTTTCTCCCGGGTATCTGCACAGTAGTAGTCTAGTGTGTTTCCTCGAGTGTCAACTGGTCGACGCGGTCGCAAGAAACACAAACCAGCGCCAAGAAGTGACTGATGCTGCACAAGTAGGTGGTGGTGCCTCGTATTCTTGCGAGTCCTCCGAATCCGGAGGGTGGGCCGGCGTGCTTTTTGCACGGTCTGTCCTGCACCCTGCACCCGTCATCATGTGAAGAGGAGGCTGTTTGCATTGAAGAAAGATGCGGTATGCAGGGGCGTTTGGGGTTTTCTACCCAGATGACTGACAACAGAGAGGAATAACAGTATTTCCAGCACAATTCGAGCGGTCGATACACGTCGATACACGGGTACCACGTTGACAATCCAGTGCTGGACGTTCGTCGCGTGATCATCTCTGGTTTGTCCTTGAACCTCTTCTTAGAAGTGGCGAAGCCCCACAAGGGCCAACATGATCTTAGTGTGTTGGTTCGGTAGATCGGTAGACATCATTCGGCTTTTCGGAGATGATTGGCTAGTTTGAAATGTGGAATTGCGCCGCTTCTCCGGAGACTCTGCTACATTGGTAGGCCCAAGCTTGAGAGACAACCTTCCCCACTTCCCACACTCTCACATGAGAAACTCCTCAGACGCAAATCAGCAAACTAGTTTCCTCTCGTCTTCTTGATCAAGGGGAAAAACTGCGAAAGTTCTGAGATCCTTACCTGGGGGTACCAGCGGTGAGTACCAGGGGCGTCGCCGAGCGCCGACGGTCGCTCTTGTGGGTGTGTGCGGTCGTGTCCTAGCAAATGATACGTATAGGTCGGTTTGTCCGGTAACAACGTTCGCTGCTTGGTCACAGGAGTTAAAGCAGGAGCAGGGGCAGCGACAGGGGGCGGAGGGGGGTGAAGGGGGAATGGAGGGCAAGAGCAAGAGAGAGGGAGAGACCGTCCCATGTATGTATCTGGTCCTGTGGCAGATCAAGCCCGTCCGCAGAGGTGTTGCGAGAGACTTAACCCACGACGCAAACAAGTAGACACTGAAGAAACCGTCTCTTGCCGTCTGGCCACGTCGAAGTAGGTTTTTCACGTTATTACGTGTACTTTATTGAGCGGTCCTACATATCTATCCATGCATGTAGCTCATCCATGTGATACCGCAATCCAACCTTGTTACAGGTCGATGCAGCGGAACTCTCTCAAACGCTCCTGGCTGATTTGTCACGTGGCGGGGTTCACATATATATGTTGGCCCCAGGTTGGCCTACAAATGTCTACTGCAGCTCTAGAAGAGTAGTTCCACCGAGTTCACATGTGATAACGTTCACACATATATCCCCCTGGTTGTGTAGTTCATGTTCTTTTGCCCGACTTCGCAGTCGGTGGTGGAACACGTACGTATGTATCAAACCCAGCGCTGTACATGTCCCCATTCTTAGTTGACTTGCTTCTCTGGCATGGGGGAAAAAACCACTCCACAGCCGTGAACCGTTGACGGCCGATCGATAACCATGGGCATGTTCCTCGTTTCCACGCATACACCTGTGGATCTCGGTGTCCATCGTCGAATTTCGAAAGTTTTCTCGCTTGGTTAGACTATAGATTCTTCTTTAGTCGCCCATGTGCAACAGGTGTGCGGCAAACTTTCCTCTCGACATCCGCCCCTTCCTTCCCCATGAAAGCTGTATCAACAGATGGTGTTCATCGTCGGCACTCTCTTGCTCGTCGCTGCTGCGACTGCCATGGCGGCTGCAGCGGTAGCGAGCGCTGAGGCATGCATGCCTCGCAGAAGCAGGTGAAAACCAAAACCCCGAAGAATACTCTTGAGAATGGACGCCTTGGAAACGAGTTGAGGCTCCGGTTTAGGCTGTGATCCATTACCTTCCTGCCACCGGAGGAGTGTTGGGTTGTGTAGTCTGCGCGTCATACCAAAACCCCTCTTCGAAAGTTAGTCCTGAAATGGAATTTTCTCCCCAGGATATTCCTCTACTACAGTAGTTGAACTCAACCTACTTTCACGCGTCAAGNCCGGGAACCCCCCCCCCCCCCGTTCCCGCCCCTGCAGGCAGGGACAAGGACCACGATGAACCCGCCCAAGGCCAGGAGCTGGCTGTGGTAGAACGCCAGCGGCGCGACGTTTCCATGTTCCAACAGCAATATTTTCCACGTGAACGATATGATCAACAACAGCAGGAGCATTAGGTGCTGCAAATTGCTACTGCTGCGCAAAATGCTACTGCTGTTGTTCCTCATCGTGTTGTTCACGTGGGGAATATTACGATTGAANGACCAGACGCAGATTGTACCAGTAGCCCTCCGTCAACTCTATGTTGTATCCAGATGATGGCTGCGGTAGAGAGCAACGTCTGAGCCGAAAATGATTCTTTTTACCACTGATACCACCGAGGCTTGCAGGAAGACCTGAAACACGTTTCTTCGTTGACGGCCATCTAACCGTAGTCCCATTTCTTCACCAACAACACACTACTACCGTACGTAATTCAAGACGAATATGGTGAAACATGATGTAAGAAGATGGAAATAGTTCATGAAGGTTAGGTGAAAAAAACCGTTTGTCATCCGTGCTCGTTCCACGATGATCCCGAAATTGCTGTACCTGTGACTATCGCGTTGGCACGAAAAACATGCCGGGAACCCCCCCCCCCCCCCCCCCCCC